ATAAGATTTTAAAAACCACTGCAGGGTGGGTCGAGTGACCCCTCCTCCCTATTAGTCGTCAATAATATGCACCATTACAATGGGTGATTGAAGGCCTCACATTATGTCCAATTACAGCATCAGTCTTCTTTACTCTAAAATTACTTTTTAAATAGGAATATTTAGAAATGGAACAAATATTCAATCTTCAGAAAAGTTCTTAACCAATGTCTATCTAGTGAATAGCCAACATATTTGAAAATGTCAGATGTATAAAAATAAGCCTAAATACTCCCTTACCATCATAGTCCAAATCTAGACATAAGGTGAACAGTTTTGGTAATGGACAATTTAACCTAAAAACAAAACAAAATTGGACTTGTGTCCTTGTTATTTGTTCTTCAAAATACATTAGCAAATACCTTGTGAAGTATTCGCAACATAACCAACCTTCTCTAGGATATAAAATCCATTCATCTTTTTACTCATAGTTAGTTTATATGTCAAGATTATTAGGTGTGACCTAATAATCAGATGTGTTGTTTGCTAAACAAGGATATTAAACTTTAATCTTTTCAGTATTCCAGACCATCGTTTAAACAATCAGCCTCCCTTCTCAAACACTAAACCTATTGTTGTACACCACCCTCTGGAAAACTCTTGCACAGTTATGCTGTAAAATCATCGCATAATTTCTTCAGAGTCTGAACAATCTGAGACAAGCCTGTCTCAGAACTTGTCATAATGTGAACAGTCAGTGATGCGTTGTCTTCTGCAGCTGTAGTGAATTGGATCAATGAAACTCTTGTTTTGCACTGGGATGTCCTGAGGGGGAAGGAACCTCTGGATCAATGTGGTACAATCAGCAGACACACGTTGTCCTCTGCACAGCAGGAATCCCCAAAAACTGCAGTTCCTCTTCACACCACTGTTGCCTCGGCAACAAGGCCCAAGCAAAATGTCAAACCCTCCTCAGAGATGCGTTCTTTGCACAGTTCTTCTGTTTCTGTAGTGAGCAACTCTTCACCAACACACTGATTCAGAGTACAACCCAAAGGTGGCGCACAACTATCCAGTGCTGCTATAATCACAGCAAATCAGCAACTGGAGAAAAACTCAATTTAAATCTCTCCCCCAAAGGGTTACAAAATAAAACGGCTGAGTGTCTATATGGTCAGGAATGCTGAAACATGTGAATGTTAAAACAAACCAATGGCAGTAGTCTACCCAGATTCTTTACTCCATTAAAAGTAGTAAAACCACATCGTAAAATATCTTGTTTAGTTGAAGTCCTGCTTCTAAAATTCTAGTCAGAAAAAAATAAAATAAACTTCATCTTTAAAATATTTTTTTAATTTGAAACCAAAAAAGGTCTTCCTTCTCCACCCCGATCCTATTTTTACCTCAAAGTCCAAACAAACTGATGATTTATCTTTAAAAACCATGAGGAATGACAGTTCTCATAAAACACTATTCTTCCTTACTTGATTTCCAAATCAAATGAGCAAAACAGGAAAACCTCCTTAACCACTTGCCTATTCTATTATTTTTCAAATTGTTTATCTAAGTTGTGTTACAAGCAGGTTAGATTTGTAACAGAATACAAAACTAACTGTATTTAGCGCTATATTTGAAAAAACAAGTAATCTGATTACAGTTACTGAATATATATTTTGAACACTTATTATTGGTGGAAAAGTTTCCTCACAAAATGTAATCTCCATTACTAAAGCTAAAACCTAAAGAAATCATCGCGGAACAGTTTTCTGTCCTTACCACTTAATTGTTTCAATACAAACTAAAAAGCGTTGTGAAAACTCCCACTCTTGAGAACATCTCAACACTTTATTCCATCTGAGCACGAATGTTTATGACAGACACGCCCTATTAATCCAAAACGGCCTTTAATGGTATCAATTGTGAACTTTCTTAATATGAATTGTAAATGCAACGTATGTTCTCTTTGGAACACAGATAGGACAGTAGCTGCTGAAACTGGTTAATAGCAGCTTTCTGTCAACCTATATAAGCATGTTCTTATATTTTTACTTCATGTTTACTCACAAAACAATATAACATTCTTCAGACTAGTAGTTAACTTTATATAAGTTGTACTCTCTCTGAACTCTTCAAAACATCTACTTCTCCTGTCTCTCTCTCTCTGTGCCCTGCAGCTGCTCCTGCACAAGCTTCTCTCATCAATCACCTCTCTGTGTTTAGCCAACAGTGTGCTTTTAGCCTCGTGCAGCACCTCTGTCATGTTTAAACATGAACAGATCCCTCCTGTTTACTTACTCTTTCTTCATAAACACAATTAATGTCTACTAATGATATTACAAAAACTACCTAATGACAAATAGCACAAAATTCACAATGCAATGCAATAGTAACAATCAGTTCTCAAAACTTCTCATGAAAACCACAATGTGACGTAACTGCATCCCACAAAAACTATGCTAAAAACGACAAATTATAGTTTCTTATTTATTTAAATATCTACGACACATTGATCTATTAATTTTCAATGTTATTCACTCCAACTTCAGACCAGTCGTTGATTATTCACTCCTTGTTTTAAATTCAACGCTCAGCAGCCATTTTTGAGGCATTTTGAGAAGAAGCACAAGCAGTCACACTTCGGGCTGCTGCTTCAGCAATTAGAGGAAAGCTGTGAAGAAAAAGGGGGGCTTTCTTTAACCCCTGGTGACCACGCATTTCTTTATCTGACTTTTCTCCCTTATCTATTAGTAATTATTCCCCGTACAGTCTATCCAGCTTTATGGTGCGATGTTTATTTCAACAGATAACATAATCTCTTTATCGTCACCTTTGGCTAGATAGATTAACCCCACAGAACAAGAGAACGAGATTCCGGTCCTTTCAAAACTGGTTATTTGAAATTTGCGTATCTCCCCTTGGATTCACTTATAACGCAACTGCAGCTCCTATGAGACTGGAAAGCATTATTCAATTTAGTTCTGGATGGAATCATTAGAAACCACTGGATGGAATCATTAGAAACCACTGAACGCCCCCGACGAGTTAGCCGTGTCGAGTTCTGAAAAAAACGCACGGGGCCTTTCACCTTCTTCTTACAGTCCTCATCGCTTCACATGGAGCTAACGAGTTAGTCGTGCGATTCTGAAAAATCCACGAGGTTCCTAACCGTTGCTTTATTAATCTTATTATTCTTAGTTAGTTACCTACCTATGCTAAAATATGCATTGCATTATCTTTAGCGTGAAGACTAGACACTGAGAAATATTCCTGACAACTCTAAAAAATTTGAATATAGCCAAATCACAGATTTTGAGTGTAACGGGTATCCGTGCTTACCTGATATTTTGTATAGAGCTCTGTTTTTAGTTGTCAGAAAGTATTTCGAGGTGTCACCCCTGGACAGCTTCGTCCGCTGGCTGCTGATGTGACTCCCGCTGAACGCCCACTCGTAAACGTCGGGGTCACCACTTGTTGGAGTTTTGAGGTTTTTACAACCCCACTCGGCTCCGCGTGTCGTTTTGACGAGTCCTGCTTAAAATCATAACAGGAAGGAAATCAGACAGAGAACACCCAGATACCAGTTTAAACAATCTGTTTTAATTATCAAAGGTAATAATGCAATGCACTATAATACATTACAACACCATATAATACAATATACTAAAATCATATTGTAATGTTTTAAGAAGTAGCCGGCCACTTCTGCCCTGGTTCGCGTGCTGCGGAGATCCTTCCGGTCCTGACAGCATGTGAAGAGAGGCCGAACGTCAGGAATCAACAGAATATATACCAGAAGACAGAAGGAAGGGGTGAGGTCAGCTGGTCATCTTTTCAGGTCCTCTCATTGGCAGATGCAAAATATGCTTTGTCACAATGACCCAGCGCTGGCCAGCAGAAAACCAAACAGGCCCATTTTACAACAAAACACATCTTATCACCCAAGTCATGTGTTTCTTTATGAAAGCCATACTTGTTGGGAATATAACAGTCATTATCCCATGACATCCTCAGAACTAGCTTCCCAACAACGCCTAACTGTCTTCATCATGTGTAATCATCTCTGAACTTTTATTCACCCGAAGTAAGCTCACCCTTAGTCTAAAAGGACCATTGTCTCTCTTAACTGTGTGACTAAATTCTCAAGGCCTGCAGGATGCGCATAATTAACTTAGAACGAATTTAGCCACTATATCTAATGGTTAACCAAGAAAAACACTCAAAAGGGTAATCTTTTCACTCAAAACAGAACTCACAAGTAATTCTGCATTTTACCCCTCAAAAATAGCCTAAACCACCCTTTTGATGAAAAGGGTATAAGTGAAAGAAAAAGACTATTGCGCTAATCTACTTTAAAGAAAAAGGGAACATTGTTTCAGGAATCTATAAAAAACCTCTCTATATTTAAGAGGAAAAATGTATTTTGTTCCTTCAACTATTAATACACAGGAATGTATATACCCACACATATATTTAGGGATAACATGATGCAATACACCTCTTATATATTGGTGAGATTAAAATGAATATACCAAAAATATGCTGCATCACATCTTCTGCACAATACTCTTCATAAACTTCCGCAAAGGTCACATGTCATGGCTATTTCCACTGATCATAATTCCATTGTTGATGTCTACTAGAATAGATTTATACTGTGCAATTTTCCAAACTCACATTTCGCATACAGCATCTCTGTAATCTACGTGAATTCACTCTCTCCACTAAACGGCTCGTTGCAGCTCTTGCCCCCCCTCCCTGTGAGCCCAGTGTGCTCCGATTGGTCAGCTCGGCCCCTCTGTTCTGATTTGTCAACCACCAGAGAGGCTCTGCCCCTGTTGACATCTGCCGTAAAGTGGTTTAGCGGGTACTTAGCCCATGGTGTTTTTTCGGCTCTGAGCGGAGTAGCAGAAATGAAATGGCGTCAGTAAAGCCATATATATACGAACCGGAGTCCGACCCTGAGAGTGAAACGGACCGTGATGGACCTGATCCACCGTCCCAAACAAGAATACAGCAGGCGGTTTCACAGTGGAACGTTTTAATTTTGTATAGCTGCTACATTTCAGATGTAATGTTAGAACTTCATCATTTATCTACATCACAGTAACAAGTGTGTCCGCTGACTAACCAAACTTTCCAACTGTTGTTATTTAGGTGCACATGTGGAAACTGCGCAGTAATGCCTACCGAGGTGGAAAACCTCTGTTGCAGGGAGATTAGAAAGGTGACAGTGTAGTGCCGATGAAAGGGAGTCGGGGGCGGTGTGTTTAGAATCAGGTAAAATACATGTCTGCTCTGTCTGACAAGCTAGGAATGACAAGCTAAACCTAAGAGCACACACTAAAGGGTCCGTGTGGCAACACTATACCAAAGGTGAATTATGGTCAAAACAGGGTGTCACCACAACAAATACAAAAACACCAACAGTAGCACACAACATTATATACACCATACATACTTGTCAAGTCAATAGACTATATGCCCTTTTATTTATTCTATAGTAATTTAATGTTTATTTTGTAAACCTCGCCATAGTTGGATTTAATTGCTAAACGTATTATGTTACAAATATCTTATCCTCCTATAGGTTTTAACACGAATGCACCAAGTCCCAGAACCCATTGTGTGCATGGTTGACCACCCCGGACTAGAACCAAACTGCCTCAATCCCTACACCCTGCAGAACCTCCACAATATTTATCGGTTTGATTATGGACCTTTGAGGCGTAGAACTGAAGAAGAGTAAGTTATTTTTAGCTATAATAAACTACTACTGTATTAGATGAAAAATCAAATAATGGTTTGCTATATATGAATGATCTAGGAGCAAATAATTCAGGGAAGAAAGGCTATCAAGTAGTTCCATCAAACTTTATTTTGATAAATGTACAAATTGATCATGTGTATATATACACTGTATGAGATAAGATGGACCTTTATTAATCCCTGTGGGGAAATTCAGTTATTCAAGCAGCCAGAGTGTAAGGGTGAAAAACAGGACAGCACATATATGTTATCATCCATTCCTCCTCTTATAGGCGTTTTAGGCATCTGGCCTATCGCAGCTTCGTAAGCTGGTGCTGGGGCTTTTTGGGACGAGGAATCAGAGTGGTCATCCCGTCGTGTGTGGTCCGCCGGATACGCCAGGAGTTCCCTGATCTGGCTGGACAGTACGTGGGCTTCCGACCGCCCCTAGACTAAAACGTGAGACATGGCGGGCTACCACTTCCTCCTTTGAGGGCCTGTCAAATTGAGTGGACAGGTCCTTTGGAATGTTGATTTTATTCATCTCCTCCACAAAGGGTGTTGGGTCCTCAAAGACTTCTTCAAACACCAGCCTCATCAGCTCACCCACGTACACTGAAAAATATAACATTCATATAATAATTAATTATTTGTATACACTTATTCATTTCTCTTTTATTCTTTCATTGTACAGATAATTCAGTGTGGCTATCTCTCTAGCCCTCCATCGTCTGTTGCAGTCATCCCGGTTCTCCATAGATCTGGCCAGTTCTTTGGTACTTTGTGCTATAATAATTTAAAATGTAATTTATGTTTGTAATAAAAAAAATGTTGACAACTTACTGTATGTAGGCTCCTTCTTTACAGGCTTTGCGGTGCATTCTCCCCTCCTTGATTTTGGATAGTGTTAGTATATTCTAGAACCCCGAAGGCAGGAGAGACTGAAAAGAGTCAAGGGAAGCTTATAAAAGTTAACAGCATTTAATTACACAAAAGATGCGGTGGTGTACAAAATGAAATGTGCGAGTGGAGGCGCTCTCCTCATCCGACCGGTCAGTCCAGGTCAGCAGGTAGAAGGGGTCAATCCTTGGCTTGCTCTTCCTGTTGTCATCGGAGGTCTTCTCCTATTGGCCGGCGTCGTCGGGGGCGGGTCCAATGCAATTTCTGCCTTTTTCTGTTGTTAAATTATATCATTCTAGTGTCTGTGGTTATTTAAACATTTCCTAATAAACGTTATTCAGCGGTAATAAACGAGTGCTAAACCCAGTGTGCTCGGTGTACAACATCACATGTCATTTCACCTTTGATTCACGGTTTGAAAATGCAGCATTTCGCCACATGCTAATGCTAACCGGAAATGAATAATTTTCAGAATAAAAGTATTAAGTTAATAGTTAGTGAACTTCCGGTTTTTCAGAATAAAACTGATTTAAATTAAATAGTGTATTTAATTCAAATTACGCCATATCAACATTGATTTTAATTTCTAACAATAGGCCAATCTGTACACAGGTAGTCCTGCAGCTGTTGTGGCTTGCTCACGGTCAGCATTCTCATTGTGATGCATGGCTGCTAGACACAACCTATAGAATAGCAAAATAAAATAAGACTTTGTGTTATGACAGAATAAAACCCTCATGCCACTAAACAGTCACTGTGTTATAAGATGCTACTGAATAAATTATACAGTGTATTACCTGTACAACATTCCCATGAAGGGAAAAACCACATTTTTGGGGGCAAAACGCAGAATCAAGCTGTGGAACGACTCCAGGGATGAGGTCTGGTAGTGATGGCTTAGCTTTTGCACATCTTTGAGAACTCTCTTGTTGTTGAGTATTTTCTCAACTTTGTGGAGTGTTATTGAATCTTGAGTAAAATTACAAAAACAGCACCAGTCCATTAGAACATTGCAACTTATCTTACCTATCTTATGAAGGAAGTGAAGTGTTTTTGAATGTTTCACTTGTTATTTGCAATTTTTTTATAAATATTGAACTTACCAGGTTTTAGCCATTTATTTTCATCCGTTGTGGCTCTTTCAGGATGTTCACACTTGGGGAATAGGGGGTCGTCATGCACGTGGATGTTTTGTAGGTGGTTGACCACTGACGTCCACCTTGCCAACTTCTCCGGCCCCGAGGTTGTGCTCGTCGCACTCCAGTACACATGTTTTTTTATGCTCTGCAGCCACCTCTTCAACAACTTGCAGTCCTTGTTCTGTGAAAGTTTCACAAGTTTCTTGGACAAACCTGATAAAAAGAAAACGCATGTGAATATTCAAGCCATAGTGTGTAAATGATGTGTTGTGATGGACAATATTCAAGGGTGTGGTGGAAAGAGGGTGGTGGGCAGACAGAAGGGCACAGCATGTTAATTACAACCATAACATCCATATGATAATTGCATGACAATGGTCAGGGCGTCACCCTTATGTCTGAAAACATTTTATAGCCAGGAAACAACCATACATATTCATATATGCATCACTGTAAATTCCCATCCTAAAGAGTACTCCCATTATCCTAAGATTAGTGAGTGAAATGTAATTTACAATGACAAAAGGTGCTGTGATCAAGTGGTCTGCCAGACAGTTTACAATAACAGAGGAAAGACCAGATTAGAGGGACATATAGGGGGATATCATTCATGTATCTATTTGGTATTCTTTCATTACAACATATAGGGATAAATATATTTTTCAAAGTGCCAGACATCATAGAATTGTTCTATGTTGCGTTCCCTCAGAAACTTCTGGATCTGTGGATGACGGTCAGTCACAATGTACTCAACCGCCAAATCGTTTGACTCCAGATGATCTAGGCATCTTTTGAGTCCCTCCTTTTCCATGTGGTAACTACCACCTACTTCATTGCTCTGTTGGTAAATAAGAAATAGGGCATAAATACACTGAAGCATGCATCAACAGCCAGCACGCCTAAAATTACACCCAGAAAGAGAATCCCACCTGAACAAGCTGGAAGTCCACAATGGTGTTGCTTCCCAGGTGCATTAGTGTGTAGCTCCCAAACTTAGCTGAGTGGCCTGAAGAAAATATAATACAGGAGGTTTCAAGACTTTTCAACAGAATTTCAATGGATAAGTAGATGAATTGTAATATACACCAGTAACTCTGGCACTACACTGTCTTGTCTGTTTCTGCTTACCTGGAGAGTCTGCTCTCATATCTCCTGCAACTGTGACCTATCCCCCCTGGTGGTATAGTTGCTGGAAAATCTTCAGCTGATCAGTTTTCCACTTGTGGATAATAGCAGGCTCCAGATAATGCCTATAGCATGCCTCCTGAAGGTCTCATACTGGAAGATCTCCAGCTGCATGGCTCTGCATATCTATGAATAAATAGAAAAACAGGACAAGTATTTGAAAAAGTCCACTTCTGTCATTTTTCATATGCTATGGATGTAAGATGGTAAAATACCTTTTTTAGTTGGAAGAAGGAAGCACCAGTGAAGTATGTAGCAGCAGATAATTGTAAGTTGCCAACCGGGGTACTTCCAATGATGGGCTGGCTCTCCCATTGTCTGAAGTAAGTGCAGTTTGGACAACGCTGTTTGAACGCCACAAAAGTCCAATTTTTTCGTTTTTGGACATCACAGTCTGTCTTACAAAACGGACATTTTTCAAACAGCTGTCCGAGGCAGCTTTCAAACACAACGTACTTTGCGTCACTGTGCGTGGATCGTGTCTGAAGTAACAAAACAAAATTAACAATACATGTTAGATGTCAACTCTGAACAACAGTAATAGTAATGTGTACCAAATATACCAAACTTACGATACGTCAGATTATTCTACAGCAGGGGTGCCCAACCTTTTTTGAACCGAGAGCTACTTTTAAAGTCGCCAGTCTGCCGAGATCTACCAGTCCAAATAGAGAGGCGTAGCCATTACTGACAGCCTACTACCAGGTCAATACACACTTCTACTTGTATAAAACTGACCTTCGTACGATTAATACTTCATAAAATACTGCAGATCCTTTATCTTACCTCTTTCTAATCTACACACATACAAGTATTTAACTGAAGTTACACAACAGTGTTGTTGATACAGAGTTGGAGTTTATCCACACGTCACATACTACAGTGGGTCATGTTTTCAAGAAGCATTGAACAGTGCTGCCACATATGACACAGGGAAAAAAGAAAATACTCTGAACCCTTTATTTGCCATTATATAAAAATAGCGTTGCTACAAAAGTATAAATTAGGCTATAAATTAGACTCAGATCTGAAGCTACACAGGAATCTGCTGCCAAAATGCAATAAAAAAGACAAAATTAATAGAATCAAACCCTTTTTTAAAATAGGATGCAAGCAACACTAGTTTCTTAACCCGAATTGATAATAGACTATAATCAATTAAAACAGAACAGATCTTAATGTTTGCATTCTTATACCATTTTGTACAATAATTATAATGAATAAGTTCAAACAAACTAAAACTTACAGCTGATTAATAACGATATCTAACTTGAGTTTTTATTATATCAAAAACCTTTTGAAATTCTACTGTTATTTTTACTGTCCCCCAAAAGTGCGTCAGCAGCCTCCAGGAATGCTTATTTCACAACTCCGCCGTCTTTGAAAGACTTCATGTGTTTCGCAAGAACGTGACTGACACGTTAAGATGCTCTGGTAGCAGCCTTGCTCTTGTTGTTGGGCCTGGTGGAAATGGACTGCTGTGCATTTAGCTGTCCTTTCAGGCCCCTCCCCTTTTGGGAGCGTAGGGCAGAATTAGGAGGGAATTCCGTCTCGTAGCGTTTGTGCACTGTTTTGAAATGCCGCTCCTAAATTACCATTCTTCGATAAAGCCACGCTCGCATTGCAGATGGGACAGATGGACTTTGAATTGGAATAGATACAAAAATAATCATCCTCCCACTCCGAGTGAAAATGATATATTTGGTGCTTTTTTGCTTCTGCCATTGCGGTCTTGTGTGTGTGCGGACTGTCACTCCTGTTGACATGGACAACGTCAGCGAAATAGTGCCAACTGCCCACCAGCCACGCCCCGACACATGGGGTCACGCCGGCCAATCACAAAGCTTTGATGCTTTCAAGTGCATTATTCTGGCACAGGAAGATTATGTTACAGGACATTAACGATAAAACAGAATGTTGTTGTTCTATTTTTAGAGACATCTCGCGATCGACTGGGAATCTCCCGGTCGATCGCGATCGACTGGTTGGGCCCCCCTGATATACAGTCTTTAATGAACTATTAGTAGAGAATAACGAGTAATGAATATACTTTATAGAGATCCTATTAATATCTAATAATAAAATTCAATAACGTGCTTTGACCACCAGGTGTCCCTTTCTATCAGCTCTGCACGGTTATGGTTTAAATACAGCCTATCTACCAATTGGATCAAATATAAAAGTCAGCCGAATTAGTGTTGATACTGCAAGGAGACGTATTGTGTGAAAAGAAATGTAAGATGCTGTTTAATTGCTTATATATTTATGATCCACGTCACATCTTCAGTTTTGGCGGCAGTTCTCCTGTTTGTCTAGAAGTCTTCTCAGCAGGGCTCTATAAATAGAGAATTACGGCATATATGTAATATTTAATGCAGCCGAACCGTGTATTACAATGCCGTTATGTGATGACTTTCAAAGAGAAAAGCAAGCACACTCGGAATAAAGCATTATTGTATTTTTAAAAAACGTTTTCAGATTTCACATCACATAACACCAAATCCCAGCATGCATTGCGGATAACCATCCAATCATCGAGCTGAGGATCTTGCCTACGTCTGTTTCCGGTTTCGTTTAATGACCGATGTATTTTGTTATACACACATTCCTTCACATTTACATTTTAATGTGCATTAAAGTATTTCGTGAGGCCTTCTAACATGTTTTTAAATATAACTACGGTTGTAGTTGAATAGTTTGTAAATTAACATGAACCGAAGCTGTTGCTTGGCAACTCAATCGCACAACGTCACGTCCGTTAATTCCGCATCCACACGCATGGATTAACATCGATTTAATACATTAATCTAGCCTTTGTTTCTGCTAAAAGAGGTGTCGA